CTTGTAGTATATGATAAACGAGTATCTTACTTCCTTGATTGATTATGTTTCCGGAGTCTACGGGTTGTAATTTGCAGTACATGAAATTTAGCCGTTTACACACTTCCCCACTTATTCCCTCCCTCCACACTTCTCTCAACTTTTTTTTATATGCCCCTCTCTAGTTGTTCTCAAGTTCTCCATAAGTACATTCAGGTTCTTCTTCGACTTTTCCCAAATTTCGATCAATACTTCATCAAGTTTCCCCATTATTTCTTCTTTTTTAAATTTTCTTCCTGTTCTTCCTATTTCTCTTTCACTTCCTCTCAAATTCTCTTCAATTTTCTACAAAACCTTCCTCAAATTATCTTTATGTTTCCCTCCACTTTTTTACATTAGGTAGTGGAAGTGGTTCAACCTGGAGTTCAGATAGAACATTTCCATCAGGCGTACATCACTTATTGGATGTAATCCCTATTGCTTTTTCTTTGTAAGTTTTCTGGTTTACCTCAATAATCAAGAATGTTGATCAGTAGAGGGGCATGTTTAATTCTCTCGACTTGCGCATGAAACCCATTGGGAAATCTTTGATATACATCAAGTTACTTAATTAGTACTGTAGTAATCCAACTGAATTTATACTGATTTCGTTAATAAAATGTTTTAACACACACTTCTAATCTTTTTATCACAATAATCGATAATTGCACATTATGCCTTCAGTAAGAAAACTATGTAACGTAGAAACTTAATTTGTTGTAACAAAGCATTTATTTTCCGCCTCGAAGTTTACATACTTTTATGGTCACGTGAACATCCGGTACCTGGGAGTGGGGTAAATTGGGCGCTTCGTTACGAAGTGTGTCGTACCGAAAGCATTTATGTTGGTTCTAGGAATTGAACATAGCAGGTAAAAGTAATTGGTTTAATTTCGAGAGTTGTATTTCAAGACGCCGCCCGTTACCGTAAACAAAAACTGTAATTAATTCGCCGTTTGCAACCGTTCCCGTCAAAATATTTGAATTATCTTTGTTGTGCCCGAAATCTCTTGTCATTTAAAAGATGTGGGCGAATATTTTTGAATTTAAGGTCCGTTAAGTCGTTATTTGATGGTTTTAGTTTCATATGTTAATTTGGAACGAGCATTAGAATAACAAGGCCATCCAGGTTTACACCGGTATCAGTTAGATAACAAAACCTTTTGCTGACCTGAGAAGTTTCCAAAATAGAATTAGTGTTATTTAGAATTATGAATTTAGAAATATTATCCGGCAAATTAAGTAAGTGTAATTACGGTATCTGATGGAAACGACAACAATTTTTACAGAAAATACTCAAAACAATTCACCATGTATTTCAAAAATAAAATTGCACTTAGAATCCATTAATTTTCCCACCCCATTTCGAGTAACAAATGACAACTTATTTATTTATTTATTTATTTATTTATGATCCCCCTCTCTTTTTCTGAGCTCTCAACAGGTTTGTGCCCAATTATAGAGTAACTTCGATTTCGACAATTTCATTTCGAATATAAAATATCGTATCGTATCTGATTAAATAAGATGCAGCGAACAACATCCGATTAAGTCGTGAGGAGTCTAAAAAGAAGCGCTCTTAATGAATTTAAATGTTAAAACAGATTTTTAATCCGAAGGCCGTGCAATTAGTTAAGGAAGTTTTAATTTTTGGATGTAGATAACCGAATACACAGTGTCGGCTGGAAAACCGTCGGTCTCTCGATGAAATATCCGAATTTTATAAATAGTAAAGTATTGTTTAGAGGGGATTTTTTTGCCTTTAGTGTTTTAAACGAAACGTGAAATCTTTTTGCCTCTGGTGTTTTAACTAAAATGTAAAATCTTTTGCATTTGGTTTAGCCGAAACGTAAAATTTTTTGCCTTTGATGTTTTACTAGTGACATTTGTAAGTACCGCATTAATGTTTGATACTCTTCGTCAATTTATTATGCTTTAAGTTCACCGCGCCGTATTTGCCACTTTTGCTTTTTCTTAGACAGAAATTTCTACCGCTACGTTTAATTGCAAGGTAAGCTTTTTGCTACTTTCTGTTCCATTCATTATAAGGGAGATATTGTTTGACTTTCCTGCATTTGATTTTCCGTAGCTACCGCTAAATAATGTGCGCTTTTTTGTTGCTTGCGTTCCCGTGAGGGCAATCGCTACTGTGTGCCGTAATTCCGCTTTCAAATTTTTCCTCAGCTTCCGTTTGAGTTGAAATTGATTGATACTTAATTTAATTGTAAATGTATAGTTTCTTAATTAAATTTAATTTAGATATAATTACACCGTTTAATTTTGAAGCTCACTAATTGCGAATTTCGTTGCATTGTAAACTCCTGTAATATTGTCCCTCTCTTGTTCTTGGCCCTTAACAGGCTTTCATCCAATTACAGTGACCGGCCAAATGATTTTTTAGAGGTGTCCCTGCAGAAGGTCTTAAGTTCTTCTGTACTACTCCGGTATTTACCTTACGAATTAGGAAAACTGCAGGAAAACCTAATTCGGAGTAGCCGGCAGAATGCTAGAAATTGATCTAAGGAAACTCCCATCTCAGATGAAAAATTCTTACCTCGGCCCAGGTTCGGACAACTGACTCACACACAGTTATCAACTTCCTCCGTGATTGCCAAAAGATTCAACTGGCTCTGATCAGCGGTTGTTCGCTTGGAAGATTCTTTTTAACGGGCATATGCCAGGTTAGTCCTAGCCGGTCTTATTTGAAAACCTGAAGGGCATTACAACATACCGTTTTAATGATAATTCCGTGATATTCACCCCTGTATTGGGGTACCTAAAATCAAATATCAGAAAACATCCTTGCGTTTCTAACCTCCCGGAGTTCACCTGCTTCCCACAGTAAATAATTCTTTAATTACCGTCAATTAGCCAGACATTCACCACGCGCTAACCTATAAATATAGCACGTAGGCGGTTATTTTATTTTCACCGACACTACATCCGGGTTTTGACAGCGATAGCAGAGACGTCGACGATGTCTCTGCAACGGCCGCCAGAACCTGGACCGCTGATGCAACGCAAGTTGCGTATATTGTAAATTCATATTTATTATAAGTTATCACTGAATTAAACAGTCTAAAAACTATTCCGGATTTTGACCTGTGCTCAGCCTGATGGAATTACCCGAAACCAATAATACCCAGTACATCTTACAACTATAACATAACTTAGGTATCAGTCCTGCCCTCCAGCTTTCTTAGGCATTTTCTATAATACACCACTGGTCTCATACAGTGGAAATGGTTCCACTTGTAATGGCCTCGTGCAACATTGCAATTGGAAATTTGGCAAACTAACGATTCTAGGTATTACATAATAAATGTACCTCTACAGTACACGGCTTCCTCCTCTTTAAGGACAATTTCAATTCGATAAATGATGTATAAATTCTTTCATCAATAATCGAGTAATCAAAGAAAGGGGAATTGATTGAAATGTTTACTATAATGCAACTCGCCGGAACAATAATTGATTTGTTCAATTAAGAAATACATTAGTGCCGTCTGAATTTTTACAATGACGTACTGGTACACTTTGTACGAAATTAACACGGCGAGCCGGATTTATTGTTTTCAAGCGTTCACATTATTGCGCATTTCTAATAGCAGATCGATCTGAGATATTGTAGGGAATTAAATTAATCCATTGCTTTACACCGCAACGTGGGATAAATTCTTCCTATTGGATTTTCACACATGGGATTATGTCTAAACTCTGAAATAATACAATTAAATGTTTGGCTTCTCAAATCCAATAAATACTCTTTGGACATACATTGTAGATTCATCTCGTGACTCTTTTCGTGGGTTCCTAACTAAAACTGTGTTTTGGTTTGCTTCAGTGGATAGCGGTGTTCGATCCAGTTTGGAATTTATTTATATCGGCCGGTATAACAGTATCTTGTAAGAATTTCTCCTGAACACTCATCACCTTACCATACAGGTTCATTGCATTTTTATGCAAATAGTTGGTCGCAAACCATAACTGTATCCATAGTTACTGCAGAACTGTTCTTTTCCGAGTTTAGTAAGTTATACAATTGGCCTGCATGTGATAAAAATACAATTAACTACTAAACATATGATTTCCCATTTACCTAGCTAGATCATTGCATGCGCATCCAAAGAAGGATACGTCGATAAAGTGGCAATTCCGGTTCTCACTTAAACCGAGCGCTAGTTTAAAACAAACCGATTAGTCTCTGCTTGGTTCAATGAAGCGTCCTTAATATGGCCATTTTAATGGTGTTTTTTGCGTTATAATATTAAGTGGATTTTTTATTCCAGAATACTTTAAATGCGGGTGTCATAAAAACGTCAAAAATTATATTGATTACACTGCTAGGAACCACTTTAATGGCCATGAAAACGTTTCATTATGTTAGCTCGTTTATCAAGGGGCATTTGACCTGTTTGTTGTATTAACTGTGTAAATATGAACAAAACATTTAGTGATACACCGCGTACGTAACTGATAACCTAACAAATTGGACAACGTAAAGGTTGGAATGAAAACAATTCAAAGTAGCCTTAAATTTTTGGTTTCATGACCTATTTAATAGTATAGTGCAGCAGTTGTCAAATTTTCATACACATGGCCCCTCAACTCAAACAATTGGCACGTCCGGTCTAGTGCTCTAGTCTGACTTTACTCCTTCGAAAAACTCAGTCCGTCGAGAAGATCATCGAATTGACTTGAGATGTTGCAATTTGTTTTATCGCGTGAAAGAGACATCAAAGTCCACCGACCTAGGAGTTTTCGAGAGCCATCGTAGTAGAAGAAGTTCAACGTTTGATATTAGAAATGTTATGCTTAGGTACTTTTATTTCAGTTAACTCCCTTTCAATTACAATCATTTTGTACTTTTTTACTGCCATTTAACGTTAGTTTTTCTTACACAAGCTTTTTCATAAGATTCAAAAGCCAAACAATTTTATGTTACAGTGACGTCATGCGTAACTAACTTCTATTTCCTTTCAGAAACAAGCTATGCTGGTACGACAGCTGGAAGAGGAATTAAGAATGAGAATGCGTGGTCCTAGCATCGAGATACAGCAGCAAATGGAGGCCCTTTATCAAGAGAACGAGCATTTGACTAGAGAGATCGCCATCCTGAGAGACACAATTAAGGTGCTTTTAAAGTTTATTATATACTTGAAAATGAATAAATTTCACCGAAACCATCCATTGAGATCTTTAGACATGTACGACGGTTTCGAGCATCTTTATTTAATTCTCATTTAAATTTTATAAAACTAAAGGCGTTCAGATTTTTGATTTGCAAAGGTTAATTTAAAAATTTTCATTGATGTTAAATGTAAAACCATGAGTTTTAGGTTTTTCCGAAAAATCAATACAAACGCGTGATCGCAGTTCATGTTTAGTGGCAAGTTAACAAGCAAAAATGTATTAAAACTCGTTCCGAACATGTGAATTGTATTCTTACTATAATCTAGGTTGCATGTGAGCATTCTCGATATGTTTTACAATCCTGAACAAAGAATTGCATTTCTTGTAGTGTTTCGACATGCGAGTCCTTTAATTGTTGTACTTGTGCAGATTGTGTGTCGCATACTTAAATAGTCCTAAGGAGGAGACGTCAAGTCGGTAGGTCTTCCTATCTTTGTATTGTAACCCCATTTGTCAATCCATTTACCAGGATACCACTAATTGACCGATTACTTTTTAACAGGGCACATCATAACTCCCGAACGGAAAGAGCTCTACTGAATTAGAGTCGTTACTTGGACCAAAAGGGGCTTAATCCGCTTAATTCATTAATAGATCTTTCGATGGTTATCATGTGACCTTCTCGAACCATGTGCTGATTATCGTCCAGTGTGGTGGTTATAACCTCAATATTTAGTGTTTTCCGTACAACCAGCTCAAATTGATTCTTCAGTCAGTTGCAGTTCTTCTATCTCATAATTCTCTTTTCTTTTGTTGAGCTCTCTTTAAATCAGAAATTTCTCGTGTAACTCATTCACACTTTGTAACATTCAATTTATAGTCATTATTTACGAGACACTGAATTTTTACGGTTGATTTGACGGGCGGAATTTATTAAGACTACAAGGGTTTCGTAGCAGTATAATATCTACGTAACTAATAAATATATTAGCAAAATTGTTTTATGTATTGCTGTGATCCTTAAACTTCGGGCTATATACAAAACACCTCAAGTCTAACAAGCTCTGTAATGAAATTTCTCTCAGTACACATCGGCACCCCCGCGCAATAAGGAAAATTCCATTCTGACTTTAAATGCCTGATTCCAAGCAAACATTGGTCAAGATCAAACTCCTTACACTCCAAAAAGGTGATTTTTTACCAAAGCACTTGAAATGGCGGCGGATCAACAAAATGATTCGTAATTAAGCCTGAGACATATCTCTGAATCGTTAAAGGGATCGAATAAGCACACGAATTTCATGATTTTAAATAAATAAAATTTATTCTGCGAGCACAATTAAAAGACATAAAATCCTATTTAACAAAATTGGACCACAGCGTCCGAATAAACAAACGCCGCGTTCGATTACAAATTAAACAAATATCAAGAAATCTTAAGATTACTTATAGTTTTAGAGTTACAAAATCCCAATAAAATCCGGACTAAAGGAGACAATGTAATCCACCGACACGTGACGCACAAAAACTTGAACTTCTTAATTCATTTCCCCAAACAGGTTGTAGAGATGTTGAATGTGATATCTGGCTCATTGAAGGAATACGCTACCGATTACTCGAACGGCTGCCCATTTAACGTGGACGAAAACTTCAATGAAAATGCTATTCCCAGCGCGTACTGAATTCACTTTGACGAATTTGTTTAACAACGATGAAAGGGAGCTAACTTTATCATCAACGTAAACGGTAAACACGCGTGTCTTCCCAAATCTCAAAACAACTCGACCTCGAAACTGGCAAAAAGCGTATTCGAAAGACCGCAACTCGCCCTCGAAACGCAAAAATCATGTTCTAAGCGCGTACTCCGGTATTTAGGTGGACTTCTTTCCTTAGATAGCATTGAAATTTCTGAACCAATTAAGGACCCTTGGTAACTCGATAAGCCAGTCAACAACTTGCGACAGGGCGCGTGTTTTGGTTACTTATCTTATCTTAAATATCACACTTCTACAAAAACAAAGTTTTTTTACGATTAAAAAGTCACGTTATCTCTAGAAAATTAAATGAATCATTTACAAAATAAACGAAAACCCAATAAATCAAGTCGGAGCTGTCACAAATGCATTAACAAAACACATTGATAACAGAAATTGAAATAAAAACAGTAAAACAATAGTACCTTTTTTGTTGTTGCAAACGCAGTAGTCACTGACCTAAGGTGGATTGAGCTGTTGACGCCTGGGTTCTAATTTCCACCTGTCTGCTGTATTGGGACCCAAACTTTACAGATCTACATCGATTTAATGCACCCCTCTCACTTCTCCGTGGAGACTTCACAGAGTAGTTTCGGAAACTGGGCTTTTTACGCTGCTGTCCCAAATTTTTCTCGACATCTTCCTGATCAAGTTTCACCAAAAACAGAAATTAAAGCAGTACCGTAAAAACAACGCAAGCGGGAGCTAATAATTCGCTGGCGGGTAAAAACCAAGAGCTGGGATTATTCAAATATCTATTTACCAATGGGAAGTTTTATAACTTTGATAATAAACCCTTCTTAATTAAATTTATTACAGATTTTCGGCAAAGAATATTGCCATTAAACTTCTTCTCTTTCACTCAGTTTATAATTCATTTAGCTCTTAACTATAGGACCAACCCGCTTTTGCTGCGTATAAATCGTAATATTTTACCCCTTCTACTTTACATGCCCGATATCAGAGAGCGAATGCTCATTCTCCGCGCAATACATACAAAATGCAGATTCGTGCAACTTAAACTTACATCGCATATTAAATACTTGCACCTCTACATTTACGTACTACATATATGCACTGTTAACTAAATTTACTATTTAAGTTACACTGTAAAATTCAAGATATTTACAGGTAGAAAGCATTTGTCATTTAGATACAATGGAAACTTGAAGTTTATTTTTTCATAACTTTTTCCTAAGATACTCTCCTAACTTTGCGTCCAATTCTGTAATATTTCATCTACGTAATTCCATGAAATTTCTCAATAGTTGGTTGCTTAGAGCTCATCTCTGAAATTTCATAAGCATTTCCATAACGGGAATTCTCAAATGAATTTTATTCAGTTATGTGTAGCAATTCACGTTACAAAATCCAGAAGTTCCACGCTTCATCAAACAAGAAAAACAAAGAATGTTAGCAAATAATCATTATTAAAATATGTTTTAATAATGAAAATATGCCTCGTGGTATCTAAACAACTCTTCCTGATGCTTAATTTTACCTCTCATCTCTTTCATATTATTAAAATTAAAATCGGCCGAATATTGACAATTAATTATATTCAGGACTTCCAACAAACACAGATAAAATGTATAAATACAAAAAGAAGTGCACATCGAACCTCTTACGTACTAACAAACTGTACAATGAAAATCAGCTCTTTAATTTCCATCAATTTAAACTTAAATGGTATCACTTAAACACTACCAAACTATACAATGAGAAACCCCCATTTAATTACCCCCAATTACGCAGTTTTCTATATCCTCCAAAGACCCGAACAGTTCTTCTATGAATCGAAAGGGTTGCCGTTCCTATGCACGAATGTTACCAGTGAGTTTACTTTTTCCAGCGAGATCGATGTAACTGATTTTGGTCGATTTATAATGACGTTTTGTTCATTAACGTTAAAATCAACCCCATTCAAAGGCTCCTGTTAGTAATTACAACCCTGCAATATGTAGAAACACCCCATACACAATTAAAGTTCAAGCTTAGTTACATTGACGCTATTTAAAAAAAACGTACTTTTGTATAGAAAGGTGTGATTATCGTAACAAAATTACCATGCCGCATCACGCATGTAATAAATATCGAAAAAGATAATCTTTCATTTACAGACACCACTTTTTTCTCGACGATTGCGTTAATTATTCATTTACGGATTATGACTCCCCAGTCTTAATGAAGAGTTGGAGAGAGTTTACAACAGCTTGAAAAAGTTTTCATCATAAAAATCCATTTCCGTCATTTTGCTCTGCGAGGCCAGCGTCTAAATTACAAATTTCATTTACTTCTATACTGATGCAAGGCGTCTATGTTGCAAAATTTACATAATCTGCTCTCCGTAACCGTAAGAAACTTTGTGTCAATCCCACCGAGATAGTAAATTTTTATAATTCGTCATTCCAAAAAGTTTTAAGGCAGCGATAAGGCCTCTTTACTGCGTTGCATATACGACTCTCTCGCCGTACAGGTAAACTAATAAGGATATACAGTATATGTATACTCTTCTAGCCGCCTACATTGTCGATTTCATATGCTGTCTGGAAGAAAATAAGAATAATTTAGGTAAATACGAAATATAAAAAATTGCCCTTTTCTCTCTATAAAAGAAAAAGTTACATTAGCAGAAAGTGACATAGCGCGAAGATTCTCCATGCGTAGTATCATAACTTTCATCGGCAAGTACCTATACTTACCTTCGTGCTTTATTCTGCAATCCATACAAACCTTCTCTTTTGATATCTCTAGTTTTATTTACGTTTTTTCACGAATTGTGCAATTTGAGGAGTTACAATAGAACAATACGCACAATTCTATATTGCATTTGCTCTCGTTCAGTTTTGTGAGCGTATACATGGACAGAATTAGTTAACAATTTCCCACAGAAAGGGAGTCACCTCTACGTTGTAGAGTTAAAGCTAAATAGGAACGAGATGCCATAAAGGGAGCAAAAGCATCCTTATCCAACTATATGCTAGGTCACTATTTTCGGCGTTTCTGCATATGGTAGTAGATGCCGAAAAACAAATCGTTTTTTTCTACAATCGATATCCAAAGTAGGCATTTGCGCTCGTATTTGACAACGCAAACGTCATCTTTTTCGAGGAATGTCACTTTGTCGCTTATAAGCGACAAAATAGAAAAAACGCTCGCTCTCCCAATTATTAACTATAATTTGGGCATAAGATTAAAATGATGTGAGTGAAAAATTTAAATTTGTGGAAATATGTGAACTGATCGATTGTAGAAAAAATCTTGTGTGTAATTCGAGCGCAAATTGATTGTCGATTTCAAGAGATTGCCGCGCTCCTTCGTCGCGCGTCAACTGTCTCTTTCAATCGACAATATATCATTTTGCGCTCTTAATACACAAATAGCTATTAACGAATTCCAATCTTGCCATTCCGACCTGCTATTTGACGAGATCCTTTTTGTATTCCAATAAGAAGGGTAGAAACTTAACTTCTCTCTTCGTGCTGCTCCAATCACCATTCAGGAGAACTTTTTTTCTTGCAAACAAGCGACTGTACATACAAGCGATTAATTTTCAACACCCCATTAAATTGGCCGCCCCTCTAACACAAAAATTAAAGAAAATGCTCAACATTGAGTTAATCAATTAAATAAAGCAAATAAAATTTTAAAAAGAGCAATCGAATTATCAGCATCCGATGGCAACCTAACTTAAAGCGTTTGTGGATGACCTCACAAATAATTAGAGAACCCTGAATCAGTACCCTCACTCACACACTAGCTAGCTACTTTTACCTCTAAACACAGCAATCACAAATTTCCCTGTACAAAAACTTCAACCTTGTATAAGGGAAGAACTATTACACGTTGAAATTCATATTCATCTGTGCTGTTTATTTAATTGTAAGTACACACTATACAGTATATATCATTCAAATGGAATAAATTAGATGGGGGGGGGGGGGTTGTATTGGTAATTACAACACCCCGTACGTTATTCAATTGTTACATTTCATTACAAATATTTGTTATAACATACTCCAAAACTAATACTCTTTACGTTTCTTTTTCGCTTCAGCAGTTTCCCACACTTTTTCAATCTCATTAGGCCGATGCCAAGCGAACTGTTCTAGACTGATTCCAAAACGCTCTAGATCAGTCGAGGAGCTTCTTTTCAAAATGCAACGAGTCCATTTTTGAGTTTGATTTTGAGTTAGGACTATGGATTCCAAACGTTTTTTTATTTTTTTAATTGGGGTGTTGCATATTAAAATACTGCATTTTACAAAATCTATGTCAATCATTTTAATTATTATGATTGATAATAAGGGTTGACTTCAAATTTTTAAAATATGGACTTGTTGCACTTTGAAAAGAACCTCCTTTCTATCTTCACTCTAGACAATTAGAGGTATCTTTCCAAAGCTTTCTCTTCCAGTGTTCTATACTCTGCGTTATAGGTTGACTCCAAGGAAACTGTTCCTTTTAATTCGGTCATTCTACCTCCACTACACATAGGTATACCTAGAGTTCTTTCTAGACCCTTCGGAAGTTTCTTAAACATTTCCAAATCTAAAGATTTCCATCCTACTTCAGAGGTTTTCTATACTTTGCGTGTTCGGCTCATTCCACACGATCTGTTCTCTTTTGGAATGTTCCAGACCCATACCAAAACGTTCTGATGTTCTAGCTGCAGTTCAGACCATTTACGTTCCTTCCAAAACCTCCCAGGCGCAAGTTTCATTTGTACAACTTTAAATGTTTGTATCACATTTCAGAAGTTTTTACAATTTAAATTGTAACAAACAAAACTAAAAAATTTCCCTTCTTTTCTTTAAAATCCACGTCATTCACTTCTCACTTCCTCCCCTCGCATTCAGCACCCCACCCCTGCTTTTCCCTGTCTTCTCCAGCTCCGTACAGTTAACGACATGTTTTCTATGTCCTCTTCCTCCTCTCCGCACATTCTACATTTTCGTTCTTCTTGTTGTCTCCATTTCTCTTTCCCTTTCTCTCTCTTAATCTGCATCTGAACCTGCTATAATTGTTCTAGTATTTATAGCGCATTTAAAAAAAAAATGTGCTATTGTTTGCGTTTTGTCCAGCCGTTCGTCCGCCCGGACCCACTTTTGCCGTTTCGAACTACTTCTAGGAGAATGGTCCTAAAGTCTTGGAGTAGGTAGCCTACACCTTGAAGGTGTGCCAGACGGCCATCAAATTTCGCTGTCTAAAAGGGGGCCTCCCCACGAATTATTTCCTGAGATGCTGGTTTTGAAAGTAAAACGTGTATAACTTTTACATACGGCAACCAATTGGTCTCAGATTTTGCCTACGCATGCCTTTAGTGATGCCAAGTTAAACTTTAGAAAAATGCGCTTTATCTGCACAAGAGTTGTGCACAATTTATACTTGTTTCTTCCTTCCCACAAATATTTTGGTAACCACTTTCTTATTAGATCTTTATAACTACTACTTCCTCGGGCGCTCTCTATCTTCACCCTACTATCTGTGCACCCAGATTGTCCAACTTTTCTCCTACTCCTCTCCTCCTTTCGGCCTCGTAGATTCTATAATACACCGAAGTCATTATAGTAATTCCCCTATAGGGTAATACAGAGTGAGCAACAAAGATTGAAGCGTGCCGCTTCAGCTAAATTGGCAATGTGCCGCTCATAGCATATGCTGATTTGATACAAGATACGAAATACGAATAGACGCACGTCACTGTGACAGCGCAGAACGTCATTTTCGTATACAACTTCATACAAAGAAGGTAGTTTTGATATTAATAGGAACAAGCGGTGATGACGCACGCTTCAATCATTGTTGCTCACACTGTAGAATACATATCTGCTACACAAAAATGCATTGAAGTCCTGAGGACTTTAATTTCATTTTCTACTTTTTTCTGTTCTCTCTTCTCTTTCTCATCTGTTTCCCCTTTCCTTTCTTTCTCCATCATTTCTATATATCTATTTCTCTCTTCTGTCCTTCCACCACTCCTTTCTATATTTCTCTCCCCCCTCCTTCAGTTATTTGTTTCCACGTTATCGCGTACTCTCATTTAAATAATTCTACTATTCCTCTGTATTCCCTCCTATTTCTTCTCATTGTTCCTCTAGTCTCTCTAGCTCCACCATGTCTCTAGTCGTAACTGTATCTTCCTTTGTCTTTGCGCCTTTTCATTTCTTGATCTCTTTTAGACTGAATTCCGTCGGTTGATGATCAGATTCTATCCTTGTTCCTACCTTAAATCCATCTATTTCTACCAGTATTTTTTCATTTATTATTGTATAGTCAATTACCGACGTCCCTCTTCCTTCCATATATGTGAATTGCCCGTCCCTATCTCTCTCCATATTTCCGTTTAAAATTCTCCAACCTCTCTTTTCTAAAAATTCTAGTAACACTTCTCCCTCTTTATCTCTTGATTTTTTATCTTGTGTTCCTCTTAATTCCTTTAATTACTATTCTGGCTAAACTCACGCCCCATTCCTCCCTCAATATTAGCCCCTCTTCCCCCCTTTCACCTACCATGTTTTCTATTAAATTTTTTAAGTCATTCATTCTTTTTCTGTTGTACTTATATCGTTATCAGTTATCACTCTCATTTTCTCTCCCTCCACTTTTACTCGTCTGATCTCTATTCTTTCCTTTTCTTTTATTTTATCCCCCTATTCCCTCATCTCCCTTTTGTCTCTGTTAATATACGTCATTTTGCTATTCCCTTTATGTATTCATTCGGAATCCTGTTTGTTATTTTCTCCCATTTCTACCCATATTCTATCCATGATTGTACCATCCCCATGACAGGAGATCCTCTTACAAACTTTCGGAATTGAGCGTCTTTACCAGCTACACCCGCTACATTCCAGAATATTTGCATGTTACGCTTGTCCATGTCTTTCTGTTTTCTTTTGTCGTTTGTGTGTGCACCCCCCTCTACTGATACGATCTCCATCAAAAGGACCCCTTATCGCTTATCACTTCAATCTAGCACTCCAACAAGAACTTTCACTTAATAACGAGGGTATACTTAGCCCCCCTCCCTCATATTGTCATTGCGGATTGCTGAGAGGCCGCACGAATATGAATAAATAATAAATAATAAATAATAAATAATAAATAATAAATAATAAATAATAAATAATAAATAATAAATAATAAATAATAAATAATAAATAATAAATACCTTGTAATCCATGAAATATATGAAAAAGCAGCTAACCACCCGCCGGTGTAAAGAGGAGCAACGCAAAAAATTGTTTATTAAATACACCCCAAAGTATCCGCAGTTCGTTCTAGTCGCACTCAACCACGGTTCACTGGCCAGAGAGCGTGGAACGGAACTGCCCCCTAATACGTAATGGGTCGACCAAAGTCTCAATAACCCAAATAACAAATGTAGGAAAAATAAAGAGAAGTAAATAAAAACAATGTAATAATCGATAAAGTCAAACCCAGTATTTTCCGCAAACATACAAGGTGCAATAAGTGGAGGGTTGCCTTTGATAAAAATCGAACTCTTGCCTGATGCAAAGTCTATCTGTAGTGAAAATTTTATTTCGCCGTTCCCACAGAAGAAAGGCACCAAGTGACTAAATCAACCTAGATGTGACGTATACAAAATCAAAAAAATTATTCCCTTTTCGGAGCTACCGTTACAAAATTAATAGTTACAGTGCCTCCATTAGTCGAAATGAAATTTTATTTTACGCAATGTAATAATTTCACAAGTTACATAATATTCACTTATCTACATGTCTATAGTCCTTCTGTTACAAATTTTAATAATTGCTGTTACAGGTCTGTATCAATAGAGCTTTGTGGTAAGTGAATATCATTAATTAATAACCGATAGGAATTGGAGTTGCGCATAGAGACCCAGAAGCAAACCTTGCAAGCGCGGGATGAGAGTATTAAAAAGCTGCTGGAAATGTTACAGAACAAGGGAATGGGTGAGTGTCGATCTTTGTTTATTAAATGTTACGCTTATTCCCCCGCACACTTCTTTTCCTCTTCTAGCGGGGCCGCACTACTCGGAGCTAAGAGTCTTACACGGTTACAGTGATACTTACATAGACTATACCGCCTTTAAGATGTGACGAGAGATAAATAGATGTTAGCGGTTAGAAAGTCTGCGGGTCAGGTACTAATACAGGGGGTGTTGGGTCTGTTCCAGGTAAAGAGGAGGAGCGCCAAATGTTCCAGCAGATGCAGGCGATGGCTCAGAAACAGGTGCATATTCACTGTGTAGTACTAGGTGTGGTAGTTGTCCACCGTGTATGTCTGTTAGTGTTCTAATGCTCACGTTTGTACATATGTAAATCGCTGTTCTTTGTGCTTTACTCACGCACTGCCATTGTGTTTCAAATCAAATTCATGGTTTTATGAAGATCGGTTGAGTGAACGGATAGTGTGAAAGGCTTATGCACCAAGCTGCTGAGTGTATGGTGTCGGTGGTAAAACGGCCGGCAGGGTCCTGCCTTCCTAGTTACCGATGCTTCCCCCTTGTGTAGGAGCTGCGCGTGGCCAACGAGACTTTACGCTCGCTTCAGTCGCAACTGGAGCTGGTGCCCTCGCCCTCCAGCAGTACGATCAACTTACTCCTGGACACGAAGGACGCTAGAATAGCGACCCTCGAGCGCCAAGTAAATGTGCTGGAGCGCGAGGTGAGGCGGCTAGGCGGAGGTTCACCGCAAGGGGTGGTCGTGCCGGACGTCCTGCAGGTCCCCCCTAAACGTCAAGTAAGTTTTTTGTTGAACAATGTACACGTCGGGACGGGAAGGGTTGCCGAATCCGTTCTCGACAACTGTAACTAGTTGTAAAGACTCTCCGGCTCGCTTAGCGCTGACCGTTTTACCACCTCGCTGTCTCTCGGCACGCATGTTCCCGCATGGGTTTAGTGCATGCCTCCACTCGTGTGTGCAGCTGGACGAGTTCCGCATGGAGATCCAACGTCGCGACCAGGAGATCCTTGCCATGAGTGCCAAAATGAAGACCTTAGAGGAACAACACCAGGACTACCAGAGACACATAGCAGTTCTGAAGGAATCGCTCTGCGCCAAAGAGGAACATTACAACATGCTTCAAGGCGACGTCGAGGAGTTACGGCAAAGGTTGGAGGAGAAAAATCGGTTAATCGAAAAGAAGACGCAGCAGGCCCAGCAAGAACGAAGTCGTGGTACGGCTGAGTTGACCGAAATGCGTGAGCATATGGATATCAAGGATAGAAAAATTAACGTTTTACAACGAAAGGTAAGCGCAACATTATTACAAATATAATTTCTCGTCATGTTATACGAATAGTTTTTTCCTATAGTACAATGTGATTTTGTTTCGAGATTTAAAAGGTAAACAATTACTCTTTGTGCTTTGGTTTTCTAATGACGAATCTGGGATTCGTTTTCTCATAGAAAAGCTATTGCTCGGATGGACAATTGACCCAAAACACAATTCATCGAATAGACAGTTGACCGAATAGTTACGCCATGAAGTCACCACTTTTGTAACCCTGGTATAGTATATGCTAGATATACTTGCCGTTGGTATATGCTCATGTATTTGATATATTTTCTTATGACGTAATTTTATGTACTCGACAATATAGTTAATATTTTTATTTTATAGCAGATGTTAAATTGACATTTTAATAGGTTTGAGTGAGTAGGCGAAGTCGCTCTTCAATCGTGAGGGTAGATAAAGTGATCACTTTAACTGTAAGGGTAGATAAAGTGAAACAGATGACTGTGCATTCTAATGACACCTGTCAATCTGTTTCAAATGCACGATATAAAATGACATTCAGAACATATGACAATTCTGTTTCTATTGAAACGACAGCGATGGTAAAACCATCTCCTAAAAGCTTTTTTTGTTTAATGCATAGTATTTTGACCATAAGCTACATATTAACCTACATGGTGGCGCATACAAAATGAAACCGAGCTGTGTTAGGGTAGTGGACGATACATTTTCGAAAAACCCCTCAATTGTATGGACGATGTGGGCGATTTTTACACCAAATTTTTACAAACTTCTCTCTCTAATGTTTTGATGCGGTATGATATGGCTACAACCCCCAACATTTTAATCGGAACAATAGGTTACGTTAATTTTGTTAACCGCCATATCACATATCACAAATCTGTCTTAGGGTGATTCGATATTGGTGAGAGACTGACAGCATATACCTAGTCCGATCTAGTCTACGAAAAAGTTCGGAGTTTATCGGATGTTATCATTTGATTTCTTGTTTTAATAATATGAAGAATTTGAAATTGAAAAATCAAAATAATTTCAAGAAAGGGTCAAATTCGAAGAATCTGAAACAGGCGAAGAAGAAGAATTCAAAAAATTCGCAAAAATCGAAGAATCTGAAAGGCTAGAAAAATACATGTAAACTGAAGATTTCGAAGCGTTCCAAATATTCGAAAGTTGCGATGATCAGAAGATTTCGAGGAAACGGAAGGATTCAAAGAATCTTGAAAATCGTAACAATTTGGACGTATTACCATCCAAAAGTAGGAAAAAATTGAAGAATTGGATGAATCTGAAACATCCGAAGAAACGAAAGAGATCTTAATAATCTAAAAAATTGGAAAAATTGAAAAATCCGAAAAATATCAAGTGAGAAATGAAAGATTCTAAGGAATGCTAATAACAGAAGGAATCTGACTAGCCGAAATAAACGGAATAATCTGAAGGAAACTAAGAACTTGAAGAGTTAGAAATCCGGAGAAGGGTGGAAAAGATTTGCAGCATCTGAGGGACCTGAAGAGTCTGAAGAACACGAGGCGTGTATAAACAATTGAAAAATTCAAGAATCTGAGATTTAAGAAACCTAAGAAACGAGCGATTTTAATGAATTTGAATAATAGGACTCAATACTCGATACCCAAGAAAAGTTTGAAAAACCTAATGAAACTAAAAGATGTCAAGAGTCCGAATGATTCGGCGAATTTGAATAATCGCAAGATACTCGTGGATCGAAAGTAGCGTAAGCATCTGAAGGATGCGAATAGTACGAAAAATTAGACGAATCTGAAGATTCTTCAAGATTTGAAGAATTTTAACCATTTCAAGGATCAGGAGAATTCAAAGAAACGGCAGCACCCCAAGAATCTAAAGACTTCGATAAACATTAAGCCTCTGAGGAGACGAAGGATTTTAAGGAACGTCATAGATGTGAATAAATTGAAGAATCCAAAGTACGAATATAGCAAACCTAAAAAATCGAGAAATTGAAGAATCTTAAAGATCTAAAGAATTATATGCACCTGAAAAAAATTTACAAATTCGATGAAACGGAAGGATCCGAAGAATGGTAAAAAAATACGTTTCCGATGGAACTAAAAGAAACGGATAAGTGGGAAAAAATGAAGAATTGGTGGAACCTGAAACATCCGAAGCAGCGAAAGAGTTAGAAGAGCCAGAATAATCTAAATAATTGGAAAATTTTGAAAAATGCGAACATTTCAAAACTGAAGAGTGTCAAGCGCCGACAGAACTCAAAAATTTTGGACAGTCTAACGGAAGCAATCTGAATAGCCCAAACAAAAGCAATAATCTCAAGGAAAGAAGAACGATCAGAAGAATGGGGAAGACTGGAAAGGATCTGCAACGTCCGTTGAAACGGAAAAATCCGAAGAGCATGTGGCATCTAAAAATAATTAAAAAGAGACAAAACCAAAGTTAAAGAATCAGAAGAATAGCATTTAAGGCTTCCGCAAAAGGATTTGAAAAATCTCAAGAAACTAAAAGATATCAGGGTTTGAAGAAGCTGAAAAATCTTCAGACTATGAAGAACTTTAATCATCCTAAGACTTCAAGAGTAATAATTCCAAGAAACGGAAAAATGGGAAAAACCATGTGAATTAAAAAAAATCGAAGGATTTCGGAAAATTGAAAACTAAACAAAGGAAAGGATCTGAAGAATCCGAAGTACCTATCGCAATGGGAGTAGCTACTCCGAAGTAATATAAAGGTTTTATGGAATCCAAAGGATTTGAAGGATTTAGAAAATTCGAATAATCTGATACATTCGAGTAATCCCAAGAATGGTCTGAACAAGTTAAAGAAACTACAGGACTTGAAAAATCTGAAGAGACAAGAGAATTTGAAGAATCACGAGAATTCAATGCACCAAGAAATGGAATGATCCGAGGAATCATAAGAATTTGTCAGTTTTAATGAACCAAAGAATATAAAGAGCCAGAAAACTATAAAAAAAATGAAGAATTATTGAAAGAGGCTGAAGGATCAGAAAATGGGGAAAAAACAAAAGAATGGAAAGGAACTGAAATATTCGAGAAAACAAAAGAAGCTTATTTAAAAAAATCAGATAATACATACACTTCCCAAGAAGGGCCAGAAAAATCTAAATAGATTATAAAATCTCAATAGTGTGAAGAATTTGAAAAACGGAATTACACCATTAAATCTGACGAACCATAAGATTTGATAAATTTGCATAGTAACGAATAATAGGAAGAAGATGAAAGAACTCTAATAGCTAATAGCAAAAGGAATCTGAATAACCAAAATAAGAGGCATAATCTGAAAAAAATTAACTGCATCATCCGAACAAACGGAAGACCATGGGGCATCTGTATTTGAAATTTAGGAATTTGAAAAATGAAGGATCAAAGTCTGAAAAGTCTAAAGAAACTGGAAGATGTCACCTGTCTGATGAATTTGACGAAAATACGCAAGAATCCGAAGTGCCTACCCTAAAAACCTGAAGAGTTCGAATAAGACAAATTGGAAGAATCTGAAGGATTTTATTATCTTTGAAAACATGAACAAATTTTTGGAACGCAACACATTTTTTTAATAGCCGCATTGTGAATATCTAAAAACATATTGCTGTGTCCCACGTTGGGCTCCAACTAAATAATGCTGTGGCTCCACGTCGGGTGCCAAATAAATAATGATGTGTGCAATGGTTGGCGGTACACTACACCATCCACACTCCAGAAGTTCCAAATATGCAAGTTTTTATCAACACCTGAAATAAATCTTTGATACGAAGATAAAAATATGAGGTAAAGACTATGCGGATCGCACAATGCATATTGTACCCATTGATTGACAATACCAAGAATTTATTCCGACACACATAAAAAGAAAATGAAATCAAAATTCCTGGAAGAAAAACGATACCCCACACGCAAACGGTCGCTAGTGAAAATAAAAAATAATCGGGTCGTAAACAGGTTTACAGTAAACAGGCGGACAAAACTCAACACAAACGTTGACAGCTTTAGAACTTCACGTTTCTTTAACACGCAAATTTATTGGCAAGCAAACTGGTATGTTAAAATACGTGTTGTGTGTTATTTTTAACAAGAAAACATCAACAGAAGGACGCACGGTGCACTAAGACTACTTACTTTACTTCAACCGAACTAACGCGCGCATAGTAAAATGTACATCTCTGATAACAGAACTCTTATCCCAAACGACCAGATGCCCTTACATTTTACACATAATTTTACATTTTACAATTGAATACACGAATCTAAATAAACAATTTACAAAACCGATAAAATAAAACAAATATACAATTACAAACAATTCTAAAAGGAAACACAAATATGGAAATAAAAATTCGAGCAAAATAGACCTCTTTCAGCTCAATTGTTTATTTGGTAAAATGTATTTCCGATGAATCATTTTTGGTTAATTGTCCGTCGCAACGAAAACATGTCACACTGTATCTACTTTTATTACCCCGATTTATTATTTGTTTCATAGAATGCTATTTTATATTAGTTTTTGGTGATGGTTATAATTTTGTTTCCTTGTACCTACTCGTTATTTCACTGCAACTTATTATTTTTTATATATGACAAGTGCATCCTACGTTAGTGCTTGGTGTATCTTAGTGCTCGTTTTCTTCTTAGTGGTGATCGTGTAACGTCAACTAATATATGTGATGAAAATTTGACAGATTGAAAATTTGGAAGATCTTCTAAAGGAAAAGGATAATCAGGTAGATATGGCTCGCGCACGTTTGCAAGCTATGCAAGCACACCACTGCTCCTCTGAGGGTGCGCTTTCTTCTTTAGAAGAGGCGATCGGCGATAAAGAAAAGCAAATGAGTCAGTTAAGAGACCAACGCGATCGCGCTGAGCATGAAAAGCACGAAGAGCGGGAATTGCATGAACGAGAATTAGCAGAGTATAAAATGAAGATACATGCGCTTGAAAGTGAGGTAGAGAAACTAAGCGTTAGACTAGATAGAGCAAATTCAGATAGAGATAGATTAGAAACCAAGTTAGAGAGTTCCCAATCAGAACTTGGAAAATCAAAAGCCGAGTTAGATAAAGCCGCCATCGAAGTAGGTCGTAGCGGCGCCGATTGGGAACAAGCTAAGCAGAGGTTAGCCAGACTAGAATTAGAAAACGAAAGGCTGAGGTATGATTTAGAACGTTCGCAAACCAGCTTTGGAAGAACGGCCATCACGTCTTCCCAAGAAATGGACAGATTTCAAGATAGAGCTGACAAGTCTGCTTCGGAATTGAGAAGATGCCAAGCAGAACTAAGAGTCACACAAGCTGACTGCGAACGCGCTAGAAATGAATCTACAGCTTTACAAGAAAAATTGGAAAAATCGCAGGGGGAAGTATATCGTCTCAAGGCTCGTTTGGAAAATTCGCATCAAGAACAAGACAATCTCAGAGAGGAATTGGAGCGATCGCAAGGGGCAACATCCAGACTTCACGCAGACAAAGAGAGAGCTATGGCCGACTTAGAGAAGTCGCGGGAAGAGCTGGAACGATCGCAAGCGACCTTAGGAAAAGCACAGTTACAATTGGACAAAGTACAAAACGCTCTAGACAAAGCTCAAACGGACATCGACAAACTTCAGGAGAAATTGGACAAATCTTCGGGAGAGATGCGCAGGGTGAGTATAAGCAATGATGTTTGTTGTCACTGTTAATAATAATGCAAACTAGATGCAACTGGAAAGAGAAAAACTAGGGTACGATTTCGAGAATGTCCAATCGCAATTGGACAAGGCCTTGGGACAAGCTGCTCGGACCCAGAAAGAACGCGATACATTGCAATTAGAAGCAGATCGACTTCGAGATAAATACGAAAAATCACAGGTAAACAGCGCCACTCGAACGCACATTGAGTACCTAATCATTAATTCGCTTTCAGTTGGTAGTGTCTCGACTACAAAAAGAGAAAGACTCCTTGGAAGAAGAGGCAATAAAATTATCGGAGCGTTTAGAATTACAAATTTCCCAAATTACTAAAGCTCAGCGTGAAAAGGCGGACGTACAGTCTGAATTAGACGTGTTCAAGGAAAGATGGGACAAAACATATGTACTTCAGCAAAAACTTCAAATGGAACGGGACGACGCAACACGAGAAATTGAAGTTGTCAAAGAAAAATTGGATAAGGCCATGTACTCAGCGCAGAAAGCAATGGACGAGAGGGACGTTATAAATAAAGAATTGGAAAAAATAATTGAAAAATACGACAGGTAATGTATCGATTTAATTTAATTGATGTCAATGGTCTCTCTTTCAGGTCACAAAATGAAATTTATCGACTTCAGAGTAAGTTGGATGTAGTCCAAGCGGATAAAGATAGATTGGAGTTGGACATCGAAAAGCAACAGATTGTAGCGACAAAAGGTAGAGAGGATCAACGTAAATTACAGGACGAATTGCAAAGACTTCAAGAAATGTACGATCGTACGGCGTTGCAGTTGGGACGGTCAAAGGAATTGGAGGAAAAGTCTAAAGAGGAACTGGAACGTATTAGTCTCGAAGTTGAAATGATCCGAGAGAGATACGATAAGTCACAAATTGAAATTAGACGTTTACAAACCGATAAAGATAAGTTCCAATCGGAAAACGAACGTTTGCAGTATGAGGTCGAACGCGCTCATGCACAATCTGCCAAAATGCAGACTACTCACGAGAAGGATCAAGAGGAAATCGCGCGACTTCAGGTCGAAGCTGAAAAGGCATTTGATAAACACGATAAATTACAGTTGGAGTTCAGAAAGATCGTTGCGGAGTACGATGCGCTAAGAGAGCCAGGTCCTGGGCGCTACTCGAAATACGAGAGAGACGACCGCTCAAAGGAAGACAATGAGAGACTTCGAGCGGAAGTTGAGAGATTAAGAGAGAGGTTAGATAAAACGTTAACTGAATTAGATCGGTCTAGGAAAGATTTGGCGCTCGCTGAAACGTCACGGGGTAAATACCAGTTCGATCAGGAGCGTGACCGCGAACGTTCCGTTGAAACTGAAAGACTAAGAGATGAACTCCAAAAAGCGCACAACAATAATCAGCAATTGGAAACGAAACTGCACGAGGTAAGCATGCAACTAGAGCTTGCTAGAGCAGATCTCGCGAAGTCCTCAAGTAATCAGGAGAAACAGAGACACGAGATGGAAAGGGCCGTAATTGAATGCGAGAAACTAAAAGATCGCTTTGAAAAGCTCAAGATTCAGGCCGAGAAACTTGAGAAGGAGAACGAAAAGTTGAAATTGGAACTGGCGCAAGCGGAACGTAAGCAAACTTTGGCAGGCGATAAGGTTCGAACCGAGGAACGTCTAGAAATTGAGAGGCTGAAAGAAAAATTAGAGAAAGCGATACAGTCCAGGGACGCAACTGAAATGGAAGCTGGACGGCTCGCGAAGGAATTGGAAAAATCGCAAATGCATTTGGCGAAAGCTTTAGAAACTAACGAAGCCACGAAGATTGAATTTGAAAGGATGGCGACTGAGCTGGCGAGAATGCACGAACGTATAGAAAGGGAGAAAATGGAATGGAAAACGTTGGAGCAAGAGCGTGATGTCTTGCGTGCGGAGCTGCAACAGATTCGTAGCGGTATTGACACGCAACGTAGAGCGGTGGATCATCGTGCGCAGGAAACTATTGTGAAGTTACAACAAGAATTAGCGCAAGCTTCTAGAGAACGCGAAAAAATGTCGTCGCTCTTAGACAAACAGGGCCGCCAAGGGGAATCCATTGAAAAACAGATTGTGAAGTACGAAGCGGACATAAAGCAATTGACTATGGAAAGAGACCAGTTAGTGACGCAACTAGAAAAGTCCCAAGATATGTTAATGAACTTCCAACAAGAACTTAATCAAAGCGAGGCGGAATTGGAACGTCAAAAAACGGAGGTGAATCGCCTGAAGACCGAGCAAAAGAAGGTAACCCAAGATGTGGAAAGAGGAACGAAAGAAATGCTGGACAATCGCGATAGGGAAATTAACAAGCTACAGCAGCAGATGGCGGCCGTTCAAAAAGAAAGGGATACTCACCGACAGCGCGCCGAGAAAGCAGAGAAGCGTCTGCAAGAAACGGGTGCTCGTGGTGACTCAGAGCTGGAACAGTGGCGTAAAGTTGTAGAAACCGAAACGGCCCGGGCAGATCAGGCGGAAAAAACTGCGCAGGATTACCAGAAACGAATTCAAGCGATGGAAAAGCAGATGCAACAACAACTACAACAGATGGCCCAATACCAAAAAGCTGCGGGTATACGACCACCGAGTGAAGATGATAAGGAACTGGTACGATTAAGGAAAGATTTAGAAAAAGCGCATGGTGATCTTAAAAACAGTGCGACCGAAAAAGAACGCTTACAGTCACAACTTGAAATGCTAGTTCAAGAGTTGGAGAAGAATCAGGTTAGTCACCACTATCGTTTAAAATACTTTTTATTTATTGGAGTTCAAGCACGTCTAACACAAACATTTTACAAAAACGATGGTCACACAGCACTATTACACCTACACGAATTAGCACTATACTCTGTTCCGTTATTTTGTTATGTTACTTTTATTTCTAATTAAAGTTATTTATGAAAAAGTGTTTTATTTATTTATACTTAGGTGTGCTTACTGTTACAGTTATTAACTATCCGTTTCCGATTTTACACTAACCTTTTTTTAGTTTGATCTTCTTGAAGCAACGAAGAAACAACAAAATGTACCTGCACAAAACGCTACGGAAGACTTTAGTGTACAGAAGAAACAAATAGAAGAGCAGAGAAAGCACATAGAAGAACAAAGGAAGCACATAGAGGAACAAAGTAGAAGAGTTGACGAACAACGAAAAACTGTAGAAAATAAACATAAACACGTAGATGAAAAAGAAAAACAATTAGCGGAGTTAGATAAACAATTGAAAAAACGAAAAGAACAAATGGACCAATTAGAGGCTTCATTGCAAAAGGTTTCTTCGTCGCCAATTTAATAAAAGTATTACCGGAATATTTACAGGCTGGAGGTAATGTCGCTGTGGCAGGAGAACTCAATAAGAAGCTAGTGGAAGCGGAGAAAAAATTAGAAAAGGCCCAAGAGGAATCGCAGCGGTCAGCAACCGAAATGGAGAGGTTACTTCAATTAGTTCAGATGAGTCAAGAGGAACAAAACACCAAAGAACGGCAAATTGTCGAACTTCAACAGTAAATAGTCGAATGACTGGTTTCTCGAAATGTAATTATTTTTATTTTAGGGCTTTAAGAAACGCTCAGGCAAAATTGAAATCTCAACAGGCCGCAGCACAGAAAGAAGAGGTAATTCATTATTAATGCATTTTTACTCGCTTACTAACAACTGTAACTTTTTAAACGCTTCTCCTTGGGATTTCTCGTACGTATAAAAATGAAGGCCGGTCCCGCTGGCTTTCTAAAAAGCTTTTTCTAATCATCCTGCCAACTTGTTACCACAATCTTGCCTCATTCATTGTTATACAAACTTTTCCTTTCCTAACAAGTTTTTCTTTTTCTATATTTTTTTTCTACATTATTTGAATGTCTTTTACTAATTGTAATGTACAGAACGCGACTGCAAATTCCGAATGTGACGAGTTGTTACAAAAAGGTGACATTGAATGTACGGGTAATACGGAAAGAGAAGACTACATCAGGGACCTGGAGAAAACTGTTACGTCATACGAAAATCTACTCAGAGATAATCGATATGAAATTCAAGAACTTGAAACGGCGTTGGAATTGAAAAACAAGAAACTTTTGGATATGGAAAATATTCACAATCTACAGCTGGTAGAAGCGAAATTTGAAGAAAGAAGAGGAGAACTAATACAATTGGAAAATCGCCTCGTTTCGGATAATGAAAGTATAGTCTGCGCCGAGGAAATCAATAACTTACGGAAGTGTCTTTCAACGAAAGAGAGTAGGGTGAATGAATTAGAACATGCATTGAGGGAGAGCATTAAAATTGCAACCGAACGCGAACGTGTTTTACATCAAGAGGAAGTAAAACGAAAGCAGATCATTGAGAAGGTTAGTATCTCATTTTTGCTTGCAAGGCTAAAACTTACACAGCGTTTAAAGGTTTCAAAATTGGAACAAAGGCTGTTGTCTTTGCAAAGTGCACAAGCGATGCGATGTCATACTTGTAAACCGTTCATTGCGAGAATGAATTCCTTAGAATTGCGACTTTCTCAACTTGTAACTGAAAGGAAAGATCATCTCCAAGAATTGGCCCATATGAAGTACACACCTGTACGAGTAAATGTAACGGTTTTGAATTTTTTTATTGTAGGAGGGAGGCACTCGAGGCTGCTATTAGTGAAAAAGACGCACACTTAGCACTTTTAGAAATGTCCGGTATACGCAGCGTACGTCAGGCCGATGAGGCCGATCGCCTACGAAATGACAAGAGACGTTTGGTAGAAAGGTTAAAACAGGAGGTAAGGTGGACCCATTGGGAAAGTTAATAAGGTTTATAGTTAATCACTAATTTGTTCCTAATTATCTATTGATGCTTTAGGGAGACCATCATATCCGCTGTATAAGATATCGATCGAGCAACATTGTCCTACCGAGCAAAACCCTGAAATAGATTAATAAAATTTGTCCCAAATTTGACATTTGTCGCTTATAGTTAAACGCCGAGTCATCGGAATGCGAACCACTTTTTCGAAGAATGTGGAAAATAAAAGAACCGGGCTAGGCCTATGTCGTATAAGGGTTAGGGTAGGCATCATAAAAAGTTCTTTGTGAACGCTCTTGTTGACCGGCTACCAGGGCGAGAGTGATGGTACTACGTTCAAACTTTCTCCAAATGTCCGCTCGTTTGTGCTCCCAAAGCATAAGATAGGGTATAAAATGTTGTGTAAATGGGAAGCAATTGCATGAATTGGTCAAGTTTAATATACGTTTAACGCTACGCCGTAATGAGAAATTTTAAAGGTCTTTGGTCCATCCGTCTATTGCAACGGAAATTGATTTTCTAATTCGGGAAAGGGGATACGTATCTTGCATTTGGTTGCTCCAGATTGTTCTTGTTGAACTCTTCGCCTAAGGAATATAAGAAGGTAAATAAAACAAAAGTATTTATTTATTTACTAACGAAACTGTTCCTCTTCTCCTAAATATTCGCTGGAAAGAAGTACAAGTTAGTAAATGGCGATGACACAGTTGAACTAGATAAATTGGAACGCTTAAATATGTTCAGTTTATTGATCGGAAAGGTAGGTACATTTAACACTTTTTCATTCAACATCAAATTCATATAAAAATTGAGCGCATGAACAATCTTTGATTATCTTGAACGAAAAGGTGCACTTTATACAAATAATAAGGTTTCTACAAACACGAAAAAATGTACTACGCAAAATTTTAGGGGAAATTATTTCGTGTTTACAAAATATTTACAAAGAAATAACACTCACTGCAGGCGTGTTGCACTTAAATGGAAATCCGTCCCACGGAGGTTGCGGATGCATCAGCTTTCAATGTATTTGTGGCGAGAGCTTTTTCGCTTTCTGCGTTCTTTTTTTATTAGCCGGCTCCCTTATCAATCTCTTTGATAGGGAAGAAAGTCGATTTTGTACCATCCTGCTAATAGTAAATTTAAGCAATTACTTTATGAGATTTTTACTTATTTCGGTTCATTTTTAGTGAACACATTTTTCTATATTGTCATTTTCTTTTCTCAGATTTTTTATATAGAGCTTCGATAAACTTTCCTTAGTAAACGAAAACCTTTTTTTTTATCTTTCTATAGAAATGTGCAATTAGATTGAGCATTAAACAACGTGCTTCAGATGTTTCGCAGATACGTTTTCTTACAACGTTACAACCCACCACCATTAAATAACCACAAGGATTTCTAAATTAATTAATTCGCATGGACCATAATCGAGTTTGGGGAAATTATTGCTGTTTATTGAGGTCGTCACAGAAGCACTTATAGTCATTCATTTTCCATTATCATACTCCCATTTTATTGTGCTTTTTTAGCGTTTTTATTTCATTTTTTGTTACCTCAAGCGCCACAAGAGTTTCCGCTGTTCGAGATACAAATAAACTCTTCTTTCTTGTGTTTGGTTTCTCGGGATTACTTTTGGTGAAACTTTTCGCCTAAGGAATATATAGGAAGGTAAATATATACACATTAATAAATGAGGATGAGGCTGCTGAATACGGGTCAGATTTGTACAATAAACTTATTGTTTAAATCTAAATCTAGAAATCACGCAATGTTTTTACTCCGTAAAAGAATACATAAACTTTAGGTACCTAACTACAACATTTTTAGCGCATTTCCACAAAAATAAAAAAAAATGCGCTATTGTGGCCACTTTGTCCGTCCGTCCGTCCGCTCGTTTTGCGACACTACGAGTTCTTTATCTTAAGAGCTATTGTTCTACTTTTTTCGCTATTTGGTTCGTTATGGTGTCGAGTCTTGTACCAAGGAAGGAATTTTTTCTATACCGCTTACAAAAAAAGTTATTGTAAAAAAAACAAAAAACCGTTTTTTACATGTTCCATAATTTTACACTTTTGCCGTTTATTAACGATCCTAGAGATCGTTTATAATTTTGCATTGCTATCTGTCGCCTGCCGGTTGGTCTGTCCGTCTGTTCCTTTGTCTGTCTGTCCATCTATCTGTCCGTGTGAACGATAACTTTGTTTAGAAATGTTCGATCGCTTTTACATCTCCGTTAGTTATGAACTGAATTGCATGAAATTCAATATGGGCATCGCTTTAGCCATATAATACGCAATGCCAAAAGTTGAATCGAATCGATTCAAAATTTACAGTGCCCTTTTCACATCTCGACCATTTATAAACCGAATTGCAAACTTTTTTACATATAAAAGTATTTGAATGAAATTTGATACATAGGCACTTGGAATAAAGGAAAATCTAGCGCCAGTTTCAAAATTTTATTTTGCGCATGCGCAGTGCCAACTTTTTTATGTACGGAACCATTAAAGTGAAATTTGATACTTAGGCGCTTGGAACAAAGGAAAATCTAACATTAGATTTAAAATTTAGGTTTGCGCATGTGCAGTTCCAACTTTCTTATTTAGAAAAGGATTGAAATGAAATTCTTCTCATAAAGTGAGATTGAAGTAACACGTTGAAAATGGATTGCCCATGTGCAACGCTATCTTTCATATTTGTGGCCGGATTTTTACGATTTCAACAGAAGTTGCATCTTACAAATGGGAAATGAATGCAAGTGGAAATGCGCTTTATGTATATCGTTTACGATTACTTTTTAACTTGTTGTAATTGTAACTTTGATGTTTCCTATACCATAATGCTTGGTATATCAATAACATACATTACATAAATGGAAAACACATTCGAAAAAATTCAGTTATGAACGGGCATGAACGTGTAGCCTTCGGCCATGGCCTTAAAGACAAATAAGCTAAATTGACAAATTATGTCGAGTACTACTACAAAATATTTAATTGATAACGTAGTTTCTAAAGTGCTTGTACTACAACCCAAAATTTAAAGAGAAATTACTCGGGAGCTTACTATCCTACATTAATTTCTGCTTCCCTCGTTCATATTCCAATCTTACGGTTATGGTACTGTCGAGACGTACACCAACACGACATAGTTCTTTCACCATACAAAAAATTCAATTGAGATAAGTGACATCTGTTATCTCTTTTACAGGAGAGAAACTATAGATTGGTGTATTTCCTATTGTTGGAACGATTTAGATAATTGGGAACAAATTCGATTTTTCTGCGTAGCTCTATCAAATAATAAAATTTTGCTTTCCAGGACGAACTCAGCGTCTCTTTACAGGAGGACAGTGTCGATGATCTTTCGTTTGAGACCGTTGAAACCTTCAATGGCCAACAAGTAACTTAAAATAAAATGTGATCCGTGTCCTGGTGTTATACTCAATTTGATCTCAGCAATAATTGTTGCGGCTGAACCGTCTTCAGCTGAATAATAAACATTTTAATGAAAACGCACTGCCCAGATAAACTATTATTAAAAAAAATGATATATGCATGTTTGACTTTTAGCAAATTATCCATGTTATTTATAATATGACAATAATCAATGATATGGGGCATCGTTGTTTTTCACTTCGTTATAAGGTTGTGAAAAAATATAGTTCGTTTATATTTCGAAGGGAGGAGAAAATATCTGCGAACAATAATTGTATTCTTTAACCAGTGTGTTAGTTATTTCTCATTGTGTATATGAGTTCATCAAATATGGCCATTTGCGAAGCTCCTCACTGCGATCATCATCGTCTTCTAAAAATAAGCTTGTGTATAATATGTATAATTAGCATAACCACTTACGGTCTGTACAGCAACGTAATTATGGTGTGTACTTGTGAAATAGCCTGTTATTCATTTTTGTATAAAAGCATGTAGTTACGAGGAACAGTCAAAAATTACTTAATTAAATGTGCAAGACACTTTGTCAATTCAAGTCAGATTACTACAATGACACGAATCGTTTTGACTGCACCTCGTATGAAGTACAAAAGATATTTTAATAAGTATCGCAATTACAATATATACCTGGATGTGTATCATCTAAAAGCGTTCACGATAACTTCAAATGCCTTGTATATGAATTGTACATTCGTTATCATATCATAGGCCGAGCAACACTGCCATCTCGTGCCATTACCGTGTCTGGAAAAATCGTGTATTATAAATTTTTAACAAAATGCACGTCCAGCCAGCGCCTGTGCCGCCGGTGTCTGTCGTACTTCATTAACTAATTGTGTAGCCTAAGAGACCAAGTGCATCATTGCACATTCTTCATGCGCTCCTAGTTCTATTCTTTATATCTAAATCTTCCTTTTTATCGCTTTAGCATAACTGGTTGGACGTAGAAAGGGCGTTGGTGTAAACAAGAAAAGGTTTTTTGAAGTTCCTAAGACATGAGCAAATCTTTCCAAATTACGAGCGTTTGGTTTACAGAAGATGAAATTTTCTTTTCCAAGTTAAATACCTAAATACCAGCGCCCCAACCTTGTTACGCGGATTTCACTATATTTAAAAGAAATTATTGATCAGTGTTAAAATATAGTATGGCAAATAATAAGCACAATAATTTAATGAAATTATAAGAATTATTAGTAATACAGTAGGTATCACGATTGTAATGTAAGATTATTTTGTAGTTTTTGTTAATATTTATTTTCACCCACAATTTCAACTTTCTTTATCACCAATAAAATCTTCGGCTGCTAATTGTCGCAGAATTGTTCATTGGATCATTGGCCATCGCACAAATTTTAAAAGGTGAAAATATATTTTAACGGCCCTTAATTTAAAGTCGGCGAGTATTTACATTCCATTTTTGTAATACTTTTCTAAGCTTTTTTATTTCACATATCATGTATCACACCTAACCCGATGACGTTTATTAGTGTAAATGAATTAAATCGCATAACTCGCTGATTGTTTTCCGTAAATTCCCAATCCCATCCCTGCCTTCCCCTTTATATCATCATACATATCTCATCCTTAAATTATACGAAATTGCTTTTTATAATAAAATTTAGTTTGGTATAGGATGAAATTGTTAGGCAGTAAGTTGAGTAATAAATGTTGATTGTTGACTAAATTGCGGGCGCCCGCAGTTCTTAACAAGCGAGGAAATTAAAGTAACCGTTTGTTTCCAATATTGCAACCCCTTATGACAAAATTAAAACACAATCTGCTGACTATGAACGGAAGGGAATGGGGGTTACTTAAATTTCTGAAATTGGTAGAGAAGTAGTTTAAATAATAACTAGTTCATGTTACTTTTACAACCGTTTTATTTTAATGTCATGCTGTTGTAAAAAATACTGTTATGAACGATGTAAGAGAGTGTGGAAAGAAAGTGATACAAAAACAGTAATGTTTATTTATGATTTCCGTTTCGATTTTGTTTATAAGATATGCATTAGATTGCTAGCAAGCTTATTGTTATTAATTTACCTTGTATAATGAAGGGTACGCTTGTCATAGAATATCCAACCGATTGGTAGCGGGTAGGAATCTGCTCAAATTGAAACAATTTAGACTGGCAAAATTATCACATGTCCAACTGCAGAGTGCAGACCAATTATACAGTTACTTTATTGTGGGTTTTAAGGAAGGACAGAGAACTTTTTAATATGTCATCAAATAGAACGTAGTTCAACATCCTAACTTCAGGTACCTAGATATGTAAATCCGTATTTAGATTAAAAGCTCAAAAAACAATTAGTTAAACAAGGGATCGTTTTGATTAGTCTGAACCTACTGACACCTACAGATCGATAGGGGGGGCAGGCTGTCCCTCCAATACCACATTACCAGTTGGCATTAGGTATGTAGGTAAATGTTAGAATCTTAATGATTAGACAAGGAATTAGGAACCCCAACGGAAGGTTTTAATTAAAAAAATGATGCTCGCAGGTACATTATACTTAGAATAAGAACTAAATAGACCGTGTAGGAATAAACATTTTATAAAGAGGCTTGGGTCAATCCGCAATCGGATATACAGAGCTAAAATAACACTTCCCACTTCCTATTACAACGAAAACTAAATAAGCTATTTACTAAGTACCTACCTACTGGCCAGTGGCGTCAAATGAAAGAGGCTTCAGTGCACTAAAATTGACAAAAAATTATTTGAGCACAAGATAATGACAAAAGATCACTTAGATCAACTTATGATGTTGAAAATAGAATTGATTTAACAGACCACATTGACATTACCACTATAATAAAAATTGGGATCTTCTGAAATCTTCTTAATACTTGTTTGGTACTTTTTGTATTTTCACAGTTTTTGTATCTAATAGAAGCATTCAATTTAGTACCTACGACTATTAATAACTACCATCTTACCGGATACTACCCTGTTTGAGGGGGAAATTGTTACAGTTGAATTGGAATAATTTGATGTCTGCTCCTTCCCCAATTTTTTTGTCTAAGCCCCTGCCTACTGCACACAAAAATGAATTTCGATTGCATTTTGTAACCAGACTTCCGTACACGTAAGTTATATTTGGGTATGAAATACCTGTTTCAATTATGCTAGCCAAGTTGGTATATAGTTAACCGTGAGAAAGCTAAAGAAATGGTTAGAAATGCAATTTCACTTCACATGTAAATAGAATAGGATCATAAATACTCTTTTACATATGTATATTGGGAATGAGGTAATTGTAGTGTGTCATTGTAATAAAATAATCGCAAGGAGAGTTCTTTTAAATACGTCTGTTCAGTGCCGAGATCGAATCGACAAAAGCCGGTTAAAGAGCTACGCCAAACTTATAACCGCTTCGTCGGAGTAGCAAGATAAGCGGAATTTAATTACAGTAGATACTAAGAGGAGGGATATAAATATAAGTGAATTCGTGTGAGAAGTTAAGCGATTCCACGGGCAACCTCGGGCGTAGGACCTGCGTCAGTTGTCGTGCGCACTCGATCCATTTATAATTTATCCTACGCTTATTCCTGATGCCAGGAGAGGGTTATTAACCGACGAGCAGCCGAGGCATATGCCCTAAAAAATATAATTATGGTGGTTCCGATACGCTGTTTTCGAAATACTCGCCCCACCGACGGATGCGTCTCGTCGATGTCATCATTTTCGCTTTGTAAGTACCCTCTTCGACACTCGATTTTTGAGATATTCACTATATTCTGCCCCCTTCCCTCCTTCAAGTCTACCTTAAGCGACTAGTTTGCTTTGAAAACAAGCGGTATTAAAATTTCAGGAAGATCGCGCATAACAAACAAATGCTCCACAAATAAATAAATACAAGTAATAAATTAAATTACTGTTTTGGTGTATGTATTCGCGGGATCCGTTCACTTAGACTCCCCCCCCCCCTCCATTAACCAAAAATGAAAAAAAAATGTTGTATCTACTGTGCCTCAATTATGCTCTTATGCTCACAACATGTGCCTTTTTCGTTTCGGTGATATTTGAAAAAGTGAAATGGGAAATTAGTTAACGTTTAGTCTCTACCGGAAACGGTCGGAAAATTTGATCAACTTTTTTATACTTAAACAACGGTATTGTGTAGTATGTCTATTGTGCTTAATTGTGCTCTTAAGATCACCGTTTATGCCTTTTTGGTTTCGGAAATTCAAAGGTAAACAGAAATTAGAACGCTTAGGGCCTAGGGCTGAGGGATGAGTTTATATATTTCGAAAGACCGGCACCGGATAATTACTTTTTTACGTCTACCATAATGACACCTTGTAAAACTTCTATGCGGTTCATCTATTCTTCTTCATTTTCTTTTTAAATAATCGTATATCTCAACATTCCTCTTAAACTTCCCACCAAATTTTTCTCGAGTTTTCCTCAAATCATTTTTACGTACACTTCTCCATTTCCAATAACCGTCTTCATCTCACGCTCCAATATGCTTCATACCACGTTTTTGTCAAATTTTTAATTACTCTCACGTTTCTATGAAATTAATTTAAGTTATCCTTATATTCCATTTAAATTCATCTCAAGTTTCCACCAGTTTTGGTCTGAATACCTCTTTATTGCTGATAGTTTTAGAAAAAACTAGATCCCATTGATGGTATGTAGGGTAACTTAAAGCGCCGATCTAAGAATAAACGTGCTCCCGCACCCCCAGACGATTCGATTAGTACTGAGACTTCCACTGCCACTTCGTACTTCGGACGAGCAGAAAAATACGACGGATGACAGATAGGCTGAGATACACGGAAACTTGAATTCTACGAGTATATGCTTTAAATCTTAAATGCTTTAAATCAAATAACACAGGATGAAGGTTTTTACCCACGTTGGAGTATTAAACATCCCTTGTCAAATTATAATTAGTTTATTCCCTTGGAACTTAGTATGTATTGTACCTTTTTCAGTTTTTTTTTTGTTGTAAAATTGGTCGGTTCAATTCCGCCCGCATTACGGAGCAATCAGAAAAAATCAAGTTTTCAATTTTAGTGCAGAATAAAATTTTTATTCCCTACATTTTACGACAGAAAGAGTATGTGAAATTCGTGGCAACACGCCAACGAAGTAATTTTTATGAAATTATTAATTTTATTCTTCCTACACGTACACCCAGTGGAAACCATAAACCAAGTGCTCTAGAAAACGGGACCCAAGTGCGCTTCTACTAATCGCTCGCATTGTATGGATCTTACACGTAATTGAAATCTGCAACAAAGACACCAGGTGTGCGTTAAATAATGTGTCGGCAGTTATCTCACGCCCTTCTCTGGCAGTCTGGTTTAGAAATGTTCATAAATCAATCTAATTTAGAATCCTTCACTCTGCGATCCAGCCGCATTGTTTGTTTACCCACGTGTATTTTGGACGCGATGCGGATGTCCCAAGTGTTTATAAATGGTGGTAGCAGTTGCTCCGTGTAAGGCAATCATCAATAGCATGCCATAACTATTGCTTGAGCAATACGATTATTTAAAATCGATTACGAAAGTAACAACTTATGCGGCCAGTAACACACATAGTTTCTCTTTGGACGAAGAATATAATAAAGCTCCCTTACGTGTGGTCCATTGCATCTTGATAATTTGACGGAATCTCAAAGGCGTATTAATTGTGGAAAAAGGTCACATTAGCATATCAATTGATACTTCCTATCTAACTAGGTATATAGAAATATTTTACCGCAGTAGAACCAACAACAAAATTTGAGTTCATAAAAAAAGAGATCCCTTGTCATGCCCACCTCTGTACTAAAGGCAAGAATAATTAAAACTACTAAAATCCTTTTAGCTATATTGTATATATATGCTAAAAGAACTAGTACGGAAACTTTTGATACTTAGAAATTCTGAGGAGCTTCAACACTTTATTTTGGGATTACAATAAAATATAACCGTTCTGAAATATACAGGATGTTCCTAAATACGAGGTAAATACGGCACGAGCTTCTTTGGCTTTATTTTAAGACTAAAAGTTCATATAAACATAGTTCCGCAAACACGTCGATCTACAGGGTGTTAAAGTTTCAAGATTTTAATACCTATTTGTAGAGAAGAAAGTGGAGTTTCTTCCCAAGTTTTACACATCATTTTTTTTGAAACTACAATCAAAATTGAAAAATTATCGTATGCAATAATGAAGTTTGACACAAGCTAGATACGGGTATGATTCAATTTTAAATGTTATTATTAACATTAACTCAGCAATTGTTTTTCACTTTCCTCACTAGAGAGGCAAATCACATTTCCTTCACCATTTTTAGAGGCGAAAGTAGTTTCAGAAAAAGTGTTTTTCTTTAGTATCATATTTAGAAACACAATGTATGTATCGTATATGATACTATGGTCAAAGAGTAACTTCTTTGCTATGGTCTAAGTACATAACACGAAACGTGGAGGTCAGTTAGTTAACAAAAAAGCTTTATTAGAAAAAGGTAAGCCCACTTGACACAGACAGATGAGCACATTTGGCGAATTTTCCTTAATTTTCCGAATTAGCTAAAATTTAAACTTTTTTTACTGGAATGAAGGTACTACAAACGCCGTATTGAACAATGTTCTCAGGCGCAGGAAGGTTCGTAAGTACATACATTTGTATTTATCTCTGAAACGATAGGGAAATTTTGAAAGGTATAAACGGGAATAACCATTTTATAACAAGCAAACACTTCGGTAAAGATTGCGTTTTTCTCCTACCGAAGAGGGCACAAGTTTGAAGCGCGGTTGCGGATATGACACCGATTGGTACAATTTCAAACGCTTAGAATTACTTCACGTGAAGTTAATTCTTTGCCGTCTATGAATTTGATTGGTAGTAAAAAGGCGACGAAATAGAACTGAATCTGTCGTCTAACTAAATATTGAAGTGTACTGGAATTTTCCATCATTAAAAATAATCAGGAGGAAATCAAAGTGTAATAGTTTTTCATGTGCGGACTCATCTAGACGAAAGTAAAGTTTTCCATTTAATTTAATATTAAATAGCAAGAATCTTCTAACTAGGTTCAATTTATTATTAAGATTGTAAAATTACTAATTAAAATTACTAGGAAAGGGATACAGTAACCGTTTGTATTATTTTGTCAAGAGGGTATTGAGTTTGGCATTAAAACAGGTGGCCACTTTAATAATTTCGTACAAACTCAGTACCTACTTGATTCTCACGTAAACTTAATATTATTTTTGCTGTTATTACAAAGCAGATTTTGTTTTGTTTTATATATGTAGGTAAATAATTTCAAATTTAAATGGTTGCCTCTATTTACTATCAAGTGGTCTGAAGTAGATGTACAACGATTTTAAATTTTCAGTCATAGAGAAAAAAGTTCATTCTTCTTGAAAAACATATTTAAATTTTTCTTTATATTAAGCTATCCGACGGTATCATTATCCAAGAATAGCATTATTTATTTATTTATTAAAATAAAGACGGGTTACTCTGTATGTCGAATTTCAGTTTTCTTTAAGCGTAAATGTGGTTGTTAATTTGAGATTGAATACAATTTCTATCATACCGCTTGTTTTTATCGTTGATTTGATTTAGACTTATTTACCTATTTAATGATGTGGAATTTTTTGTTAATTTGTTTATTTTATTATTCAGATAAATTTCCGTCTATTCTTTTGTAAAAGTTTATCTCTTGTTATCTGCGGTCGTTGCGATAAGAAATTTCGTTATCGCTGCGTAAAAGGCAATTAAGTGTAAAGAAGCAGATGTCTTTCGCCGTACATTAACATATGCGTGCAGTTAATCGTGCGACGCTTTGTTTTAAAAGACGAAGGAAAAAAAAAGAAATGGAAATGGTTTTAAATAGCAAAGGAAGACGTTCATCGCTGATTTTTTTGTGGTGTATGCCTTTGGTTTGGTAGTTCAGCGTATTTTATACAAACCCGCCGTTTTGCCAGTTGCACAGTTTTGTAGAAGAAAGTTGGTGCAAGAATATACCTATCGGGCCTTTTCGGGGGAAATGGAATTGTCCGATAGGTATTCTCTCAAAATTTGGGCGATGTGCGCGGATACACCATCCTATTGAAGCCAACAGCTTCCAACTTCTATTTTTTTTCTGCCCTACATCGTTGTATTCGTAATAAAAAATGCTACTTAATGTATGTACTTTTTTGCGGACCACATAAAAAAATAAAGTTGACGATGATTTCTCCGAAACGAAACGTTGTATTGAAGATCCCTTAACGCTGTCTTATGAAGCTCTAAAAGTGGCAATGAGAAAGTGTTTTTTGTCTCTGTTCGGATAACACAAACAAATTAAAATGAAATCGGCAAATTTTGGTTTTTTTGACATGTCTTCGAAAGTAATCGGAATTTTCCGGTTTCTTTAACGCAACTCTTTAATTGCACATCTTTTCTCTAATTTGACCATCGTCATATCTTTTATGGTTTCGGATATCGCCATAATAGACATTCTTATCTTTGACACAGTGTATTATATAAATGAATTCCCTAGAGGCCTTAAAAATAAATTCAAATTCAAAATAAGATGTGTGCTCTAGCTAGACAATGAAAATGAGACTAATTTCAGAATTTAATTATTACTTTATGTGGGTAGGCAACACATATTACCTCTTATATCTACGTGATTGTTATTGCATTTCGATCCGTTGCTTCCCTAACCGAATGGCAAATACCTATAAAAATTTTATATTATCTTATCTGCACGACCGTGTTTACGATTACTTATTTATTATTACTGTCACCTGAACTGCTTTTTTTGAACAGGTTTGAATGATCGTGATTCTACTGCCAATGATCTCTTCACAAAATTATGAAATGAAAGAGCGATCGTTTCCGAAACATTCGCACGTGTCAGAGATTCCACATATCCAGAGGTTTAATCATCAATAACTGACCATCCAATGCCGTTGCATTTACCTTGAACGTATTTCCACAAAATCAAAGAAATCTCGTTTCTCATGGTTATTTATAAACGGCTACTAAATCATTGATTTCCTAATTAAAAGCACAAACGAATATCTCCAGGTGTTTTGAGTTTACACCGGAAGCAATGCTTGAAGGATTTTTGGAATTTTTTAAACTCCACCATTTTCTCTGCGTTTATCTCGCTTTGGTAGTATCATCAGTATGACGAACTTAATTGTTCTGTACCTCCCATTGTATATTTATGAAATTCCGTTATCTTATAATGAGTCACTACGCACGAAGTTGTAAATTAATTCATAAAAATGTTATATTACTCAACCCAATCCGCACCACGGCCCTCCTCCTTAAATTGAATTAAAGAGAGCGTACGGTTCAAACGAGGTCTCGAGGTGAAGCTTCAAACTAAACTCGGCGCTTCTTGGCCGAACAACATTCCAAGAGATTTTAAATAAAGGACTTTCATTTTCGACGAAATTCCGAAGAACCACCTTCCATGAAGCTATGAGTCAGTTATCGGTTACCGGTATTCGATATACCTGAGCTACCTGTGACGAGAACGGCATACCCAAACAGTTTGTCGTACCTGTTAAGTGCTACTTATTAGTTCGTTAGTGTATTAACTGTGATCAGTGAAATTGTCCTTTTAAATATGTACAACAATCATCACCATGGGCTTTATACTATTCGTGGCGACATGTGCTATGTAAGTATTTTTACTTTCGCAAACAAGCACCGGAAATTTAATTAATAAATTGATTTAAATTAAGTTAAACTACTGCCCCAGTAAAAGTTTTACGTAATTAACTCACAGTCTGGCCTGTTTGTATACATCACGCTTTCGCTAACAGTTGGATTAAACGCCTATCTAATGTTTATTAACTACTCAACCTTGTAATAATCATTACTAAACATTGATATCGTACTAACGTTCAAAGTACTAGCAACACCTGAAGAATTTCAAGTATTTTTAAATTTGATAAAATTATCGTCACAAATTTACTTTTCCACTAGGCCATCCTGTGTTATTTTTGGATTAATTTTTCTACGATTGATCTGAATCACTTTATCAGTCACCATAGGATAATCGAGATTATTAATAAGCAAGGTACGTTAGATTGGAATTTAGCCTTTAGGAGACCTTGTTCTGGTGAAATCATTTTGAAAAATGCTACCGGAAAGCAACCGGAAAGTAACAGTAACTACTTACTGATTTTTATGGTCTTTTTGCAAACAACCGAGCCCAAAATTTACCTTGATTAACATATTCCCATAATAATTGCGCTTATCGTCCCAATTAAAATATTTTTTTAAATTTACATAGATAATGCTGATTAAATTACTCGACATGCTGGCATCTTATAATGTTTTGTGTCTGACTCAACAATGTATTATTACCTATGTATAAGGTATTATACAAAAAAAAGGTGCATATCTTGACTCAGGAAGTAAGTACATAGCATTGCATGCAGGATATTCAAAATAACTATGAGAAAGTTAATTATTTTCTTAAAATTATAAATATTTATAATAACCATTTAAACCATTTTCAAGTTAGATTTAATCTCTTTACAGATAAGACTACCTTTCGTATATTAGGTAGTTTTACAGTGAGAACGCGCTTTATCGCATTTGTTTTAATGAAAATAAATTGCTCTTAACAGTCGAATAACACCACAGTAGATAGGCACTGTGTCCAAGATAAGGATGTCATGGAGATCTTCGAAACTATCGAAGATACGGCGATGGTCAAATTAGGGAAAAAATTGAAAAATGTCACTTTTTGAGCTCTACAAGACACCGTTGAGAGATTTTCCTTATCTTGGGTACAGTTAACAGTTAATAAACGTTACACTAACATTTTAAAAATCCAAAATCGTCTTATAATTTACAAACGAAGATTAAGATCAATCACTGAAAAATATTAGAATGGGAAACATCTGAGCGTATTATCCGAGGTATAATCAAAAGTGGCTAGCATTCTACCATTTTTAATGATTGATTAACCTTAATCATCGTTTGTGAAACCCTGCATTATTGTTCTTTTGGTAATTGATTCATACTAGGGCTCTATAAACTACATATCCAAGAAAAAAGTGTTCTTTTTATTGTTTTGTAAAATTATAAATTTAAAGCAATTGAAACAAAACTTCATACTTAGGTACTTCTTTAAAGAGGTGGCAAACTTCACTTATAGTAATCTTAATCGCCTAGAATCCCCTTCATTTACATTTAGCCGTTCAAAGAATTGAACTATTAGGGAATCCATTCGTTGTGTCATTTTTGAATAGAAAAATAAATTAATTAACGTAAAATACACTATAAATGCAACAATATGTAGTGATGAAAAAGCGAAAACTGTTCAGCAGACATAAGGTATCGATTATCGAGAACGGAATTTAAAAATTGTGCTAACATCAGGAATAAACCTAGGAACAAACTGACCGACAGAAAGTGGGCTTTCGTAAAGGACTGTTTTAGGCTAAGTCCTTTTAATTCTGGATTAAAGTGTTACTAAACCTACGTAGGTTCCTCCGAAAATGTCTGCGAACTGGTATAATCAAGATACCTGTGTTGGCATGCAAAAAATGTCTACATTGTTTTAGATTTTAACATACGCACTTACACATCGATATGTGTAATTACTGATTTTTGGAAAATGAATTGCCTCTCAATGAAAAAATGCAGCTTACTCGCGAAAACTTTAGCGCTACGGTTATGGGTTTCAAGTGTAGTGTATCGATGAAGCCAATGTACTAAAATACGCCGTGGTGCATTTGGTGACAAAGCCACTAGTCTCAGAGAATATTTCTGTTTATAATTGGTTTAACAAATTCAAATTTGAACGAGTTTCTTTATTATGTGACGGACGTCCAATTTCACATGTATTGCGTCTATTCAGCAATGGATTCAAGAAGATAGTCGTGTGGCATACCGGATTATTGGGGTATTTATAAAATTAATACCTCGAGTATATCACTTATCAAATCATACTTGCAAAATAGATAGACATATAGCTATAGTGTCCAAGAATTGTGTAACTCCTACAAATTAGCCTTAAATGTAAATAAAACTGAAACCATGACGATGTCCTTAAAATGCGCGAATACGGACAATACTATGAAAAGTGTGACTTTCCTAGGATGTACCGTGGATAACCAGTTAAATTTTAGTGATCACTGCTCTACCTTGGTAAACCGAATGAGTAAAGCCACCTATCTTCTTCGAACGCTAGCAGAAAATGTGTCTCAGAAAGTGCTAACTAACGTATATTAAGCCCTAATTCATAGTGTTATGACTTATGTAATCTTAGTGTGGGGTAATTCAGGCAAACGCAATGGAATAAGTATTTAGAAAGAGGAGAAGAGCTGTTGAATGACTGCATTTGTTGCATGACTATCCTATATTTTCTCCCGCGGAGTTAGGAATAAAAATGTACCTACAAAAAGGGTATTTTGCGGTTTTACGGTTATATTTTGTAAAAGACTCACAATATCGAAAACATAGCCCTATTAAAAGTTTTAGGGTTTAGTATAGACAAAGCTACGAGATCTGCAATTATAGCGCCGTTCCATTTTTGTGCAAAGAAGTTTGTTTCTGGTAAACACACCCGACTTTTCATGATTTCCGTTAGCTCAGAACTACCGCCATGAAATTTTATTAAATGTAATAGCACATAATAAAATTTCTTGTTTATTGTTGTAGCGTGGAATTTATTCCTCATCTGAAGTTTTAAGAGCCATTGTGAAATTTGGTATATTGTAATAAGATGTGTATTTGCTACAAAAAGCTACTTTAGATTGCATTGCCCCGTGCCTCAAAAAGTACCTTTTTGTGAAGCAATATCTGGGTTTGTTCTGAAATAAAAGAAAAAGAATCCCATATTTTTGTAACTGTAAAAACTGTTATATAAAAAATGAAATAAAATACAGGGTGTTCCATTGCATATTTTAAAATGTCAAAATAAATACACAATTGACATCCACCTACCAAAATTCGTTATATCTCTTAAAACTCCAGAGGTTTACTTGGTTGCACACTTTTGGCGATCTTTGTATAGTAATTGAAAGTATGCAAGTAATTTGCATTGATAACTTGTTAATTAGCCGGAAACGGGTGGAGAGGGGATCTACTCGCAAAAAGTATTCTAAATAAATTTATTGCTTCTATGGTTTTAATACTAAACCAGCTTGGTGTTAAGCGAGCACCCCAATCTTAAAAACAAAATTCTGCCAATAAATTCCACACCATTGCAATAAATACTTGATTACATGTTATTACATTTAACGAAAGTCGATGGTGGGGGCATTTATAACTTTTTCATGACGTCATTGTATGATTTGAATTAATTACACTGTTGTCTATCACTTGTGGAAATACAAATGGATTGTAACGTACTTTATAATTTCTATCTCGTTTAAATGTAAAATGATTATCGTATTTTATTTTAGAAATTTGAGCAACAAATTGTTTGCTATATCTTTGATGATTTTGAGTTACCTTACAGCTGCTGTTAGGATATTTAGTTCTATCTGAGAAGTGAAGAAGTCTGATTATTGCATTTGCTAGAGTCTTTACATTCATATTCTCTATATAGTATAGTAAGCCACATTATCATATGACTTATTTTAGATCTGTTTCTGTTTTTTATAGAAACTTCCTGTTTGTAGATAGTCCTGATTGTTTTTTAACCGCAAAATGCCCGCTTCTTCGGGCTAAATCTTATTTAAAATACATCATTCAGTAATAATTTTTCATCAAAATCTATTTCATTATTATGCAGATTAGATCTCTCTTGCGCTTACTTTTCTTTATTGTTGTGAAATTGTTTGTATTACATTTGTGTTACACATTACTCGTTTTGAATTTTTGAGACGCGGCTTTAAATGTTGTGGGTATGGCACAACATGGGATTGTAAATTTATCAAAATTCCATATATTGGTTTTAGGAACGGAGTGCATAGTACTGTGCGTGCATCATGTTCAAAATAAGTACGGGAGACTTCTTCTCCTACAAGGTTATAAAAATTAATTGGTTGTAATCTGTATAAAAATATAAACATAAAAGCAAAAATTTGCATTTCCAAATAATTATACCTCATTATTCCGCTTCGAAGCCTCCCTTATCGTTTTGCTTGTATGCTATGGCTTTTGCATATCAGTATAATGTGAGAACAGTTTTTTTTATTGAAAATTAATTGTCATCGTACCAAACTTGTTAAAAACCCAAAAAATTCCAGGGCCCTTTTTATATACCTAAGTACAGTTCTTCCATCTTTTTTTTAATTTTGGGTATTTTGGGTACTTCCTCAGATAAACAATTCACGATATACTTTCATCCGTAAGTGAAGATATTTTATATTTACTTGATAAATACGAGGATAAATATTTATGGAATGAGAGGTAAAAAACTAAATATAGATAAATTACTGATTGAGCGGTATCACAGAAAGATAAAAATTAATTTAGAACAATATTGTAATCAAAACTCGAGTTAAAACTACATGTCGTGTTTATAACTTATTTATCTGCCATGTCATATATAGGTTAACCTATATATAGCAAGCAATAAACTTAGTACCCTTGGAGTCGGTCTTTCATGTTTCACCTTCCAATGTGAATGCATTTGTTGCCATGAGAAACAACTGTTAGATAAGCTTAGCTGTAAAAAGAAAAATGCACTCTTGATCGCTGAGAATTGCACTC